ACTGAGATGTTTACATAGAGAAACTATATTCAAAAGCAAGTACTAAACTGAGAGCATAATAGACCATGAGAAAACCATAACATTTGTTATAAAGCTAAGGGACAACCCACTTCATAGGAAAGACAAGCATGAAGTCCCTGATTCTGGATGCAGCAGAGTAGAAGTCTTAGCTGCTTCCAACAGAGATGTCTACTCTAAATGGTTCTTAACCTTAGGTTACTCAGGTGTTTTTGGACTGCAACTCCCAGAAGCCTTCACCATCAGTTCTGCTGGCTGGGGTTTCTGGGAGTTGCAGTTCAAAAACACCTGAGTAACCCAAGGTTAAGAACCACTGCTCTAAATTACAGCAAGGAAAATTCATTCCCTGACATACTGCTCTAACATACAAATCTAGACCTCAGCAAATGTTTCAAGCACTTTTCAATGTACAAAAATGTATGACCACATAAGCACCCTGAGGCAACAGTACCAACAGGAAGCACAAAGACCACAACTTACAGTACTGTACAGTACTGCTATTCTGATGCATAAGTGTGCCTTTCAAAACAAGGAAAGCTAGCTTACTGCTTTGAAGAGTTCCAAATACATTGTGTGCAATTCCCCTTGAACGAAGCTATTTACAAGCACTCTTGAATACTACATTTTTTAAAAGTAGTATACTGTAGTAGAATCCTGACAAACAGATGAGTCACCAGAAAAGAGTAGCTAAATACCCCCCTAAGGGGTACCATGGGGAGTAATGCTTATTTTGCCGTAAGATGTAAAATGTTCTCTAGTGGTTAAGGCTAGGACCAAGTAGCCAATAATATGCCATCTATTCATTCCAATACAGATCTAGAATGTGTAGTGCCTCTACTTCCTGTTGTATAACAGGGAGGCACACTATGTTAGTTATCCTTCAGAAGATCCTGCTGAAAGCATCCTGGCTTGCAGTATTCTCTGCAGCTCAAGGGGTCAGGGTGCAATGCAATCACCTTCTGAACCAGATTTGGGGAGGGAGGCCAGGCCACAGGACATATTATGTTCGTCCATCATAAAGTTAATGATAAGTTTTTATTTTGGGGGAGAGAATTACAGTGCGGAGTAAAACAAAAAGAGCTGTCTGACCTCAATCATCAAGCAAAACCTACATGTCAAATTATTTTAAATTCAATGTTAACTTCATTCTATGGACAACTCAATACTTAACGCAGTGCCTCTTCCTGAGTACACCTGCCTGAGCACTGAGATCTACAGAGGTAATCCTGAAAAAGGTGCTTAGCCATGTCTTACTCTGAGGTCTACAGAGGAGACCCTACTCTGTGTCCTGCTAGCAGCAAGGAAATATTACATGGAGGCAAAGGAAAGGGCCTTCCCTGCTGTGGCACCCCAGTTATGGAGTGTCCTCCCCTTGGAGGGCCAATGGGTGCCCCACTGCTGCATCAGGTTTAAATCTGGCTGTTTACTATGTTTTCTTGCATCTGTTTGTTTTATTTATTGAATTGTACTAAATTGTCTGGATTGTTTTATCATTGTTTTATATTCAATATATAAGTATGACTAGCCATATAAAGTTTACATGATGAGTCTGATAGCTTTGCTGAAAAAGGACTATTAGAAATATAAGAGGAATGTAATACAAAAATCTTACGTGCAGTACATTACAATGTTATCTTAGGCAAGCATCTTTCAATTGCCGATAATAGCTTATATTAGTTGAATATCTGTACTCTTTCTGGTTTGTTCCAAAACAAGAGGCATCAGTAATTTTTTAGCATTTATTAACATGGGAAAGTGCATGCCTACGTCTGCTCCTCCCTCAGCAGACATGCACACTTTTGAGGAAGGACCAAAGAGGATAACAAAGTGCCACTATGTAAACCTGGTTCATTTGCTAAATGCTAGGTGGGGAACCACTCTACAATACAAGTCTGGACTTCCAAATTATCACCGCTGAAATGGAGAACAAATCTAGGCACTACAGATGCATCAGCCGCCCAGATCTGGCATACAGATCCCGCTGTCATTCTGAATGCAATGGTTTATAATTAGAAAATCTTAGACCCAAAAAAACTTGAGAACATGTAATTATTTTTGCCACTGATGCAGGCATTGAGAGAGTAGCTTACACAGACAAAAGGAAGTATAAATCTGTTCTGCTGCACTGTGATGAATAACGGTTAAGAAGGCTTTGATAGAAATGGAAACACTGCTTCCTTTTAAAACAGATGATCCAAATACCAAGGGGCAGGGCAAGCCTCAAAGCAATGCCAAATCTCATCTCTGGGAGTCGGACCTGAACCACTTTGAAGCAACGGTATGTTAGGTGAGCCTTCCAATCTCAAAATGAAAACTACCATGGTTCCAACCGTGTTTTAATGGCATTTCCCTTTGCCATCATCCTTTGTTGTTTTGTAGATCCTAAACAGATTCATGGTAGTCAATAGCTGTTGGCAAGAATCTCTGGGTACTGTACTCCCCACTTCCTATGAGAAACAAGAACATCCTCCTCTAGTGCATACAGCAAGGATGGAAAACCTCTTTAATTTTGAAGGCCAGATTCAATTCCAGCTAAATTCCTGGAGGCTACATTCCAATGGTGGTGGAAGTAAAAGCAGTGAGATTAAATAGACCAGCATAGTTTACTTACTACAAAGCTCTTACTACCAATAACCAGGAAAGGGGATTCAACCTTACGAAATGGAAAAAAATCCACAAATACTGGGCAGCCACCATATGATGATATTATTTCTGGGAAACCTCAGAGAACCAGGCTTGGGACTCCAGGAGGACTGAATGTGGCCCTTGGCTTTATGTTGCTCACCTCTGTTGCACAAGAAATAGCACAACTGTATTCCTTGCCCACTTGCCCAGCAGCAGGTTTTGGAAGAGAAAGCCACTGGTATTTTCTGCAATAATGCTTATATTTTGTGTATAAAGGCTCTTACCAAAAATGCAACCTTTTTGCTAAAACAGAATGGTAAAGAAATGCACAAAAGACTCATAATCTCAGTCAAAGGTAGAAAACTTGTGAAATTTTTAGTTCTTACTGGCAAGAATTAAAAAAGAAAAAGTTTACACCCTGACCAAATCACATAATGAAAGGAGACAGAGAGACTGAGAAGCAGAAAGAGATCAGAATCTTTTCTCTCTTGAGTAAATCTTCCATTTGCTAAAACTCTGGGTGTGACTTTTAAAAGTTAGCAAGAAGAGGAAAAAAATTAGTATGTCATAGATCTTAAGAACACGGTGACTGTAACTTAACATTTTCAAGTGAACAAACCAACAGCAACAATGATATACTACACTTCTGCAAAACTTACCAAATTTAAAGCTGATCTATTTGCAAAACTGCTCAATTTGCAACTTCCCCAAACTTTTCATTTTAAAAAGGGCATTGCAATGAATTCTACAACTTACTCAAAGATAACTTCCTAGCTATTATAAATGGAGCCATCCTTACCCACAATTAAGACCAATCAGCTCCAGATATTTGCTTCCACATAAGTATACCTATAGCTCCACTCTTTCAGGCACATTCACTGCATGGAAACCATGTTTTCTAAACAAAGTGAAATTCACCTGCACTTCCTGTGCAAATATTAAAAAAACAAATCTGACTCCAACAGTACCCAATCAATTCTTTTGTGTAATAAACGACCAAAGATACTGGATTTGTTTTTCTCATTGCAGGGACATGGGAGCTGCTGCGCATATCAAACCGAATACATCTTAATTCCACAAACATGCTAATGTTGGAACCTGCGATTACTGGGGGTTTAACAAGGATTATGCAGAAATAGTTACTCCACTGTATGAAAACCATTTTTGACTATGTATGCCAAGAAGATTTTGCCATAGTAAAATATAAACAATTAGCATAAAAGCCATACATAAAGCTAAGGTGAAGATTAGATTAAATCTGGCTTCAAATATAAGTATTGTAGGCCAAAATCTTATTTGAGAATAACCCCCAGTGAACTCTAAGGTACACTGTTCTCCAAAGCCAACAGGACTGTGGTGCTAAACAGATCTTTATAAAACACATTTTAGTGCTTCTGTACTGATGAAAGTTTTTCTACATCAAACTTTTCTGCACACTTGCAAAGAAAACAGCGTGCAAGAGAATACCTGAAAGTTAAAGGAACTTCAACCCATTAAAGTGATCCAACGAAAATGAATTATAGTATTAAGAAGGCAACAAAAAATGAAAATATACAGTATACTGTAGTGAAAGTACAGGATAAATTAGTAAAGGATATTTGGGGGTGGAATCCTTTCCTTTTTTAAGACAGCACTTCTGCATGATGCATGCAGTTGGGAAAGTGGACCATGGTCATAGCAAAGTAGTATTTTTTAGAACTAAAAACAGTTTTCATATTGCATAATTTTAAGAGTACATCATTGTGCACATAAATGATTTGCCTAAGGTGTCTCTGAAAACAAAACAGAAAACACAGAATGTCCACACCAAAGCAATTAAACAAGGAGAATAAAGCATTCCCAGTTGCCTATAATAAAATCTCGATTAGAATTGCTGCTCCTCAAAGATCACATAATCAGAAAGGACTTTTTTTTTGCCTCCCAAACCAAAGGCACAGGCAGCAGCACACATGCACACACACGTATAGATTCTTAATCGTTCTACGATTTCTCTCTGCAGAGTGTGGAGAGGAGGGAGGTCTGGTGATTTTGCAAAAGAATCGGGGCGCTCAGGGCGGCACAGGAAAAGGGGAAGGAAAGCTCTTGGACTTCACAGCTACTTGCTCCGGCGAGCACAAGGCATCTCTTCCAGGAGGCACCCCACCCCCTGAGCTAGGGCTCCGACTGCTACCTTACCCACCCGAGCGCGCCACCTTAGCGCGCTCCCGGGTGCCAAAGTTGGGAGTTCGAATTCCGCGCAGGGAGGAAAGGCGGCTCACGCCTGGCCAAGGGTTAATGCTGCTGCTGTTCCGTCGCCCCGACAGCCGCCCCCCCCCAGTGCCCACCCCGCCTCCCTCGCCACAGGCTCCATTCCTTACCTCGCAGAGACAGCAACGCAGCTAAAGGGGCCACCCAAAGCCCCCAGCTCGACGAGCCCTTGCAAGTCATGCCGGGCACCGGGAGGAGCTGCGCGGGCACCTTTGGCGGCGGCGGCGGCGGCGGCGCTTCCGCGGCAGCCGGCCTCTGGCCGCCAAAGTCCAACGCCCCCCACCACCACCCGCC